ATATTTGCGGAGTTGATTATCCTTCCCCATACCCAAATGGACAGCAACAAAGTAAAATGAAAACAAGCTGCAACATCCATCAACCTCTTATTGTTATTGTTTCCTAAACTAACATCTCTCTTATTCATCATCCAGCACATTTACATGTGGATAATGGTTAAAAAAAATTAGGGCAATGCCTGCCTTCAAGCACTTCAATAATTTCGTAGCATTTTTAGATCAAAACGTTATACATATAGATAGTAGCAAACAATTTCAAGTGGATAATGGTAACAAAATTTTGAAGCAAATATACCTCTTAACCAAAAAGCAACAGTTTTAGCTATTCATACCTCTTGACAGAATGTAGCCTCTTAAGCAAGTATTTCAAACTGAAACCTGAGGCAAAACATAAAACAAACTCTGTTAGACACCATAAAATTTCAAAAAACAGCAAAAATAGTACAGAACAATTAATTTTCCTAATCTTTGCCAATACCATGGCCTGCTGCTAACCAAATCCCTAAGAAGACCCATCAGTTTCTCATAATCCTTGAGACTCAAAATTAATCAATAACTTCTCCAAGAATATTACTTAACAAACATAATTTTCTAAAATTGCAGAAACTAGCAAAGAAAGAGGTGAGAGACTCAGAATTTATATAGATTTGGGCTTTGAAGATGAAGCCCAGAGATTGAGTGTGGATTGCGATTTTGGGGGGAGGGGTGGGGTGGGTTTTACTGTCTCTGAGAGAAAACCAGATTATACAGAGAGGCTTTGAGTTGGAGGACTCACAACGTCGTGGAGATCGACGATGGAGGTCGCGGGTCACGACTGTGGCTTGTCTGTGGAGCTCGCGAGTCGGATGGCGACGTTGGCCTCTCTGTGGAGGTCAACGACGGAGGGCTTGAGTCGAAGGAAGACTAGAGACAGAAGATGTTTAGTGAGAGAGCAAAGACTTAGAAGAAAAAACAAGTGATAGAGGGGCGATACATTCTCAATTGAGAGTTTTAAGAGGGGCATTTGTGATTAGGTTTCAAAATGGGGATATTATTGAGAAAATTAGGTGCGCCGGGGGCAAAGCCGCCTATTTCCCCTCAATATTTATGGTTCATAATAATCAATATTTGTGTGTGCCTATTTTAGCCTCTTGCGGTTTTTTGTTGTCAATCCCTAATATTTATTACATTGGTTTTCCATTTCCTTTTGTACTTGAATATGTACATCAATATGACACGTAGGTATGTTTTCCCACATACGGAGGCTAGCTAGGGTCATTTGCTTCCCAAAACATCCTCTCCTCTTACCCTTGCGGAGGCTGCGGCTGTCAGAGAAGGTATAAGGTTTTCTCTATATATGGAATGTTGTGTTAAGATTGTTGAAGGAGATGCCTTTAATCTGATCCAGTCCATTCACGTTGGCACCTTTATCATTTTCCTTATTCTTCTTTTATTTTATTTTTCTCTTTCGTCTTCTTATTTACCATTTTTCTTCTACTTCTTGCTTCTTTTTATAGATGGTTATAGAAGTAGATTTTTTATTTTTGAAGTAGTGTTAGTCCACCTACCAAAGAGGCATATGAATTTTGTAGGGGGATTTTTTTTCTTTTCACATGTCCATGTATATGGATTTAGCCTTTTCTATGTTTTCTACCTACCCCATAGGTTGGAGTGTCGGTGTAGTCTACCTAGCAAAGGAGAATACGATTTTTGGTATTTGTGAGTTCTCTGCATATGTAGGTACCTTATTTATGTCTTACTATTAACTTATCTTATATTTCTCTACTCATGCATATTTTCATCATGTATGTGTATATGTGTTATTCATTTTTAGCTTTTGGTTAGGTAGATTATATGTATATTAATTATGTGCATTATATAGTGTCGAGTTCGATTTTCTCTATGTTTAAAATTCAAATTCAGAATTTGGGAGTAACAAATGCATCAAATTATGCACTTTTATGAATTCTATAAAAGTAATAATATAAAGTGCTTTTAATTTGTTTCCATTATTTACCTTCAAGGGCAAAATAGTCATAAAAACTAATTAATAAATAAAAATTAGGTTTTTTATTCAATAATTATAATAGGAGGGTTTTCCCCAACATTTTTGACGTTGACTGGGTCTATATTTGAAAGGCACCTTCAAAAAAAAAAAACTAAAGCAAAAGAAATGTAGACCAAAAAATAAGCATTACCTCTCGCATGAGTACTTCCTTAACTTGATATACAGCATGTACCATGCAGCTTAAGCAAATAGTGAATGAGATGGATGGGATGGAAATTAGGTGGTGAGAGACTCTTCAAAATTTGGTGAGGTAAATGCACCAATTGTTTCATAAATAAAAGCATCTCTTTTTAACTTCGTTTCTTATAAGATAGACAATAGTGAAAAAGAGAAAAAAAACAAATGTCACGTTACCATCCTAGTTCTTTTAATTTATTTTATCCACGACAAGTGCATAGTACATTAGTTTACGATAGAAAGAAGCACACATGCATATCGTTATTGTTTTTTTTCTTCTCTTTTTTCTTTGTTTTGACAATCTCGACGGCACGAGAGAAATTTATTGAAGAAATAAAAGATGTAACACCTAGAAGGGACAACAAGAACCAAAGCCCCTTGTGAGAGACCCAAAACACAAAGTGAGGAAAGCACTAATACAAAACAAGCCAAACCAAATAAAAAATTAACAAAGACAACAATTTAAAAGCTAAGACAAGTTCCAAAAGTAAGCTTCAGCAGCAATAGGCAGACTAGTAGAACACTAGCCCACCAGAACAGGCATGCACATTTTTATTTTCTCTTTGTATCATAATCTCCCTTGCCAACAAGCTACTTTCAATGCAATTTTTAAGGCTACCTTCTCCTTCATGTTGTCAAAGAAATTAAAATAGGCATACCTCCATGACTTTTTTAGGACCAATGTTCCACAAACAGCCCAAAAGCCTACGATGAAACCAAATGCCATGCTGACGTGAAACCAAAACCCTTCGTTATCATCTTTATTGTGATCTTCTGCAGGAAAAGTCAGTCCTTTTTTTGTGTCATCTCTCGGGCATACAGTTAAAAGAGGAGCCCCACACAATAACAGATTGTGTTCATAAATAGATAGATCATCAAAAGTTTCAAATTGGTTGCCCGAAGGTATTTTTCCAATCAAGTTGTTGTAGGACAAGTTCAAGTGAGATAGGAAGGTTAAAGAAGAAAAGTTTTGAGGGATAGGTCCTGAAAGGAGGTTGTGTGAGAGATCAAGAGTTTCAAGCCAATGTAATTTTCCGATGCTTGAAGGAATCTCTCCAGTTAATCGATTCATCGACAAGTTCAACGTACACAATACAATGAGACTGCCTACTTCTTCAGGGATTTCACCTTCAAAATTGTTAGATGAAAGATCAATGGTGTTTCCCCAAAAGAATAAGGGCTCATCACCATATACTAGTTCTTTCCCTTTGGAGGTTATTGTTGTTTTTCCATCATATGGATCAGTGACTATCAGACCAACTCCGAAAAAATTAGCTTTGACTAGAACAGTCATATTTTTCAGACACTTGGGAATGGTCCCTGAAAAGTTGTTGTGAGCAAGGTCTAGGACGCGAAGGTGGACAAGATTGCATAACTGATGAGGGATATGCCCACCTAAAAGGTTGGATCGCAGTTGTAACATTACCAATCTTGATAAGTTTGATCCAAGCCATAAAGGTAGGTTTCCAGTGAATTTGTTGTGTTCAAGATTAAGTATGCCCAAATAAGTGCAATTTTGCAAGGAAGAAAAAATCTCACCACCAAAATTATTATTATTCACCTTAAATTGTAGAAGAGAACTTGGGATAACCATGGAACTTGGAATATTACCAGAAAGATTGTTGTGTGAGACATCAATAACGAATATGTTGCTCCACAAACTCCATTGTTGAGGGAATTCTCCAAATAGTTGATTGTTTCTAAGTGAAATGATTTCCATATCCTTCATGTTGCCAATAGAGAGTGGAATAGTACCATTCAAATGATTCTCAGAAACATCAAGATGACTCAATTTGGGCATAAATTGGTCTAAATTAGAGGGAATTGGCCCAGAAAATAAATTGCTTTGAAGGTCTAAGAGGTGGGCATTAGTGGGCCAAAGTGGAAGTGGGCCCTCCAATTGATTATGACCCAAAATGATTCTCTGTAGCTTTGGAAACTTCAATTGTAATGGAAGCCTTCCACTGAAGTTGTTGTAAGATAAATCCAAATCTATGACTTGGGAAGATATCTTCGACAACCATTCCTTTGGTATGGAATCCGAGATGGAGGTATTACGAAGCATGACATCTAGTAGTTCAGTCTGAGATTGAAGCCATATCCAAAAACCAGTACCTACTCTATAGTTAACAATCTGAAGCTTGTGGAGCTTGAAAGGAGCAACCCAATCATAAGCCACGTTAAAAATGAGGGACATGGGCTTCTCTTTTTCATCATTGTACATTGAAAAAGCTTTCAATCTGGTGAGATTAATGAAATGGGCTTCTGTTAGAAGTCCTTCCCATGGATTATAAGACAGTTCTAGTTCAACGAGCTCAGAGAGTTTTCCCAAACTTTCTGGAATGGACCCGTTCATATTGTTATCAGAGAGGTCCAGTGTTTTCAAGGATGACAAGTTTCCAATAGATTCTGGAATTGAACCCCAAAGTAAGAGCCCCGAAAGGCGTAGATGCTGCAAACTTTTTAGCACTCCTAAGGAGGCCGGCAGTTGGCCTTCAAGCTCACAATTAGACAAATCTAGTGATTCTAATGCTATTGTATTATTTGGATAATTTGACAAACTCCTCAAAAACTCTTCAATTTTCTCACCAGAAAAATTGTTCCATCTAAGACTTAAAGACTTCAGTTTGCACATATTTCCAATGACTCTGGGAATTCGACCTTTGAGGCCAAACTGATTTAAATCTAGGTATTCCAGAGATTTGAGGCTTGAAAATTCATCGGGAAAAAGACCACCGAAATAATTCCTGCTTAGATCAAGTTTTCTGAGTCTAGTAAGATTGAAAAGCCAGCTGGGAAATGAAGAAGTATTGAAGAAATTATATGACAGATCAAGGACCGAAAGTGAGGTGAAGTTAATCTTCTGTAGTGGTGGTGGAACTACTGTGCTTTCAGTCAAGCAATAAGATAAGTGTAACTCCAGTAAGGAAGGAAGCATGTTAACATGATGCAGCCAATTTGTAACTCCTGTGCTACTAAGATTCACATCATTGAGATTGAGGTATTTTAGGAAGGAGAGATGAGAAAGCCAATTCAAGTTTTTGGAATGTATTCCCGAAATTGAATCCCCAAGATCAAGATAGTTTAATTTTGATAAATTACCGAAAGAAGGGGGAATCTCTCCCGAAAATGATGCGTCAAGCTAAGCAAAGAAGAATTTATCTTACCTCCCAAGCAAGACTGGTTATAAGCCAACTCGTCCCACTCTTCATCATACCATATGAGATGATATGGATTCCGTAGGCTCAGTTTCACCACATGACCGGTGCGGTTGTTGCAAGAAATTCCTTCCCATTGACAGCAATCGTGATCCACCCAAGAAGAAAGCCTTCCAGAGGGATCCTTGAGATCCTGTTTAAAACTGAGAAGCGCACTTCTCTCTTCCTTGATGCATGATCTCACACTACTAGTGCTTGGAACTCCATCAACCAAAGAGAAACAGAAGTGACTGCTAGTGTGCAGATATGAAGATGCCAAAAACAAAAGGAGCAAATAGTGAGAAATATAGAGAGGGTTGAATAAGTTTGAATACAAAGTATCCATGATGCAAATAAAGTTTCTCTCAATTTGGTTGTTGCAGACGACTACTCAATGAGTGAACTCATATATAGGAGGCAAGGCAAGGAGCGTGTAAAAATTTATCTGAAAGTCTTCTACAAGGTTGCAAGTCAATGGTTATTTTACTACAGAACATTAACCAACGTGTTCTACAAGTTTGCAAGCATTTTTCCTTATCACTTTAACCCATCACTATCATTATCATCTTTGCTGTTAGCCCTGCAAAGAACGTGAAAGATGGGCAAGACTTCTCCATCACGTGGTTGAAGACCTTGACCTAAGTTTCATTGCATTATCTTTAAGGACGCATTTGGTATTTATGAGTGGATTGGATTTGATGATCATTAAATTCAAGATATGTTATCGATGCTAATTTCCAGATTTTTTCCCAACGTGTCCCACCCAGCAATTGCAAAGAACGTTAATCGATGACATTCTTATTCATTGTCTCTATCCATGACGCTCTTATTCATTGTCTGATCTTTGTGCATTTCCAATTCTTGAAAATTCAAAATCGCTAGAATTGTATCCACTTTGGAAGCCCACAAGTCTTGCAATATGTTTTTGTTTGTGTTATTGGCCCAATCAAACCTAAACCAACTTTGGAAGCCCGCAAGTTGAGAGCTCATTCCTTGAGCTGCTCCTTCTCATTTGGTCCATCATTTTATCTTACATTTACTCTCTCTCTCTCTCTCTCTCAAAAGACGTTTAAGTCTCTTTAAAATCTACCTCTCATTTTTATAGTGAAGGGGAATGCTAGCATGTGTCATTCCTTAACTTTGTCATGGGGAATGCTAGTATGTGACAGTAAAAGTATTTTGGGCTACCAAATTAGCATTATCTCTCACATCATCCTTTCTTAACTTGGTGTTGTGTTTGATTGTATCAACTAGTCCAATTTAGTGGTACTTCTCTTTCAAACGTTGAAAGAAATCTCAAATTCGAATCCCTCAATCCTCCATTAATAAAATAGAAAAAAGGGAGATTCACTATTATACCCAATATAGGAGCCCAAATTATAAAAAAAAACCCTATATGAAATGAACTTTAGAAACACACCCAAAGCCCATTTACAACAAAACAAAAAGGCTTTTAACTTCTTTTAAATTACAAAACTGCCATTGATTTCTTAAAACAAACCCAACCCCAAAACCTCATAAGAAAGCCCAAAACACTCAATAGGGTATAAAAGTAATTTAATAATCAAAATTAAATTCAATAGGGCCAACTATCATTTTTTGGGTGTTTTTTGGGTTTGTTTATATAAATTACATGGTGTAGGGTTTATTTATAGTTTTAGTGTTAAAAATGGGTATATGACTAAATATCTCTAGAAAAAAATTGTGCCTTTTGATATGCTAGGAAAAGTCGAGTTATATATCAACAAGCAAAATGTGAATGAGATGGAAAGGAAATTAGGTGGTGAAAGACTCCTCAAAATTTGATGAGGCAACCGAAAGTTCATGTTTGAGGTCAACCCGAAAAGAAAAAAAAAGTGTCTGGTAAACTCTCTAGTACTATTGGGCTTTCTCCATGGATCCACAAGTTTTTGGCTTCAACTTGGAGAGATACCCTGATGGAAACTAAAAAGGATCAGATACCCTTTGTAGGTTGGTTTTGTCTCTTCTAATTTGTAAGTAGCACATAGAATTAAAAGCATAAATAATTCTTAATTATGCACATAATGGAACTTTTCTGTATCTCCAGTAATCAGTGCCAAAATTTGGAATTTAGTTATTGCTAAAATATGAATATGGGTTTTGAATATGTTAGGTTCTTATTTTATTCTTCTCCATAAGGAGGTATATATAAGAGTTTACATGAGTGCTTTACAAGGAATTAGATCCAGTAAAGAATTAGGAAAATATCTCCTAATTATACAATGATTTGACAACTATATAAAATAGGAAAGTAAATCCCTTAATTAACCAAAGAAAATAAATCTATAAAATAGGAAAGTAAATCCCCTAATTAATCAAGGAAATAAATCTCCTTGATTAATTAGGAGACTCACTTCAACACTCCTCCTCAAGTTGGTGCATATACATCACAAATGCCCAACTTGGTAAGTGAGTCAAGAAATTCGTAGCACCCAAGTCGATAATCCATGCGATTCAGGCAAAGTCTTTGGCGACCGGTCGTTTGCTTCGGGAGACCGGTCGCTTTCTTCGGGAGACCGGTTGCTTGCTTCGGGCGACCGGTCGTTTGAAGGGTATGTGTTTAGGGATTTTGATAAGAGGATTTGAGGGATTTGAATTTGGGGAAAAATATGAGGAATTTGATTTAGGGTTTTGGATTTGAATATGAGAAACTTGAGATAAGGGTTTAGAGACAACCTAGGATCGATTGCTTTGATACCATGCTAAAATATGAATATGGTTTGAATACTTTGGGTTAGGTTTTATTCTTCTCCATAAGGAGGTATATATAGGAGTTTACATGAGTGCTTTACAAGGAAATAGATACAGTAATCAATTAGGATAGTATCTCCTAATTATACAATGATTTGTTAACTATATAGAATAGGATAGTAAATCCCTTAATTAATCAAGGAAATAAATCTCCTTGATTAATTAGGAGACTAACGTCAACAGTATGTAGTGGCCCCTATTGAAATCAACGGGGTGTGCAAGTTGCAAATGGTGATGGTTTATAATTTCTGGGTCAATCAAGTATTAATCACTATCATTATCATCTTTGCAGTTAGAGCGGCAAAGAATGTGAAAGAAGGGCAAGACTTCTCCATCACATGGTAGGAAGGACAAGGATATAAAAGCTCTTAAGTGTCACCGTTATTGCTTTTTGACTTATTCTTGTTTGTTGTAGATGGTGTACGTTCATAGCCATATATCATTAAGGACACCATTGGTGCTTGTGATTAGATTGGATTTGATCACTCATTAAATTCAAGACTTAATTATATCCACAATAAAATTACTCAATGCATTATTTATATACGTCTAGAAATTGGCCTACATTTAGCATGTTCATATTACAATACACTTGTGGGCAGTTTGAGTTGTCAGGGATCACACCATACTACAGGCGAGTCTCTCAACTTGTTATTTTTATTACGAGATGCATGCATACACAGCACATAGTCACTAAGCGCACATGAGTGTGGAGTGTAGCATCAACAACTTACATTCACCATGCACAAACGCAAAAGCGAAACCTAGAATGAGAACTACATTTGCCCTTTCAGCTTTGAGCTTCTAATTCAAAAAACTAAAGCGAAAAAATGTAGACAAAAAATCAGCATTAGTTCTCGCATGAGTGCTTTATTAACTTGATATACACCATGTACCATGTGGCTTACGCAAACTGTAAATGAGATGGGATGGAAATTAGGTGGTGAGAGACTCTTCAAAATTTGATGAGGTAAATGCACCAATAGTTTCATAAATAGAATAATCTCTTTTTATTAACTTCATTTCTTATAAGATAGACAAGAGTGAAAAGAGAAAAAACAAATGTCAAAATACCATCCTAGATCCTTTGATATATTTTATAGTTGTATTGATGACAAGTGCATATAACATTAGTTACGATAGAAAGAAGCACACATGCATATTGTTATGGTTATTTATTTTTCTTGTTTCTTTGTTTTGACAATCTCGACGGTATGAGAGAAATTTATTGAAGAAATAAAAGAGTAACACCTAGAAGGGACGACAAGAACCAAAGCCCCGCATGAGAGATCCAAAAGACAAAGGAAAGCACTAATACAAAACACGCCAAACCAAATTAAAAAAACTAGCAAAAACAACAATTTAAAGCCAAGACAAGTTCCAAAAGTAAGCTTCAACAGCAACAGGCGGACCAATAGCACACCAGAACTCATATGCACATTTTTATTTTCTCTTCATATCATAAACTCCCTTGCCAACGAGCGACTTTCAATGCAATTGTTAATGCTACCTTCTCTTTGACGTTGTCAAAGAAATTAAAATAGGCATACCTCCATGACTTCTTTAGGACCAACGTTCCACAAACAGCCCAAAAGCCTATAATGAAACCAAGTGCCATGCTAACGTAAAACCAAAACATTTCGTTATCATCTTTACTGTGATCTTCTAAAGGAAAAGTCTGTCTTGAATGTGTATCATCTCCAGGGCAAACAATTGAAAGAGGAGCCCCACACAATAGCGGATTACCTTCATAAATAGATGTATCATTGAAGGTTTCAAGTTGGTTGCCCGAAGGTATTCTTCCAATTAAGTTGTTGTAGGACAAGTTCAAGTGAGATAGAGAGGTTAAAGAAGAAAAGTTTTGAGGGATATGACCTGAAAGGTGGTTGTGTGAGAAATCAAGAGTTTCAAGCCAACGTAATTTTCCGATGCTTGAAGGGATCTTTCCAGTTAATCGATTCATCGACAA